TATATATATCGTGATACACAATTCCTGGACGCTTGCAGTCTCTCATCTGGCACAAAATTGGGCGAAAACCAGGAGTTTACAAAGGATATACTAAGAATATTATTTATTCTAGTGGTAACGTGTGAAAACTAACATTTGATAGAAGCCATACAAGGGAAGAAATACTCGAAAAACAATGTCAGAGTGGCCGAGTATTGAATGTAATTATAGCAGGATCGGGCCCGGGAATAGCACCTCCTATTAAATCAACGGTTTCAGTAAAAAATAGCGACCCCTAAAAAAATAGATACAGTTGAACCAGGTAAGGGTATCAGTTGAAAACTACGCTTCAACTTGAATTTGAATTTAAATGTGAAAAAAGCTTTTGAGGAAAAAATAGTCGCCGTTTGGACCAACAACAAAACCTCGTTGGTCATATCCGATTTTATGCTGTTTGAGGATTTCACAGGATTAGAAATTGTGGCAAAAGTCATCAGCGATCTCAGAATGTCGCAATTTTCAAGTGAGCGTAACCGAATAGAGGCATAATGCAAAGTACAGGTATCAGAGGGACCGCTGAAGCTTGCATAAGCAACTTGGCGGTGCACGTATGAATGTCTTCACTTATCTGATATCTTGCAAATGTGTATTCAATTTGTGGAGTTACAATGACAAACAGCCATAATGTATTGGAAAATGGTGAAACCTGATATACCATCGCAACGAACCCCACAATCCCACAAAGGATTAGAACGGAGAACGGCACAGAGAGTAAGGACACCAGTGACCAGATTAGTTAAAACAGTCAACCAACAGTATTTAGCTAAACCGCATATATGCGAGCTACGACGCCAGTTGGTACTCATTAGCGATTCCTTCTACAAGATCTAACAAGTCCAAATTCATTTATTCTTTGGACTGTTTATCAGATGGACGAAACTAGTGATCAGTCAAGAAAAGACGTCTACAGGTCACATGACGAGGAGAGGCCGAAATCCCGGTTCACATGTTCAATCTCACGGTTCTCGTTGTTGAATTCCCAAACCCAGTAGTAGGTTGCTCAGGTCATCCGGATATGGAACAAGCTTCTTTTCTGTGACACAGCAAACGGAAATAAAAACATTGTGCAATGCTTAATCTATCCACCGTGCATCGCAGGAAAGTTCAACATACAATCTGACGACCATGTACCTCTCATCACTGGTTAAGCGTGTCCGCTGAGGTCTAATCGAATTTCCCGGTACAGCGTTTACTATCTAGATCATTTATTAAAGCTTTCATTTCTATCGAAAATCTATCACAATTAGTGCCATCTCAAAGATCTACAGACGACCGGAGTCCATCCAGTAACGAATACTATGTTTGCACGTATCACGCAATAACCCGGACAGTTCACAACGATCGCTCTCGTTAGAAAAATATCGTGGTGTGGCACTCAGCAATGCCGCTCGGGTCTTACTAAAAGATCAAGGATATATGCGCGCGATGCCACCACCTTGAAATAAAATAAAATTGTGGTTAAACAGTCGCAATAAACAGTTGATTCTTGATAGGGAAGTGGATTGACTTTTGAGGTCACCCGTGGGCTAACTACTCTTGGAAATGGACCACTAACTTTCCGTGTGGATCAAAACGTCACTGCAAGGATCATTTTGTTCGGATCTCAGATTGCCGTTGAGCTCATTCAACACGGGTCATACGAAAACGCTAAAATCTGAATGCAAACAGATTCATGGGAGACAATGAAGATGGAATTATGATCGGCACCCGATCCCATTTTCAACTTGCTTATTTTTACCTTTCTGAAATCGTCAATGATTCTGTTCGCATCAAGTATTCTGATCCTAAATCCCATGGATAATTGGACAGGGAATAAATAACGAGCTGCTAAATTTGGGCGCATGCTCTCAGTGCGAATGCCAGCTACTTTCTCTCAGTAAAAATGTCGGAACCAAGTAGCTTAGCAATTGGGGAGCGAAAAACATCAATCAATTCACGCATTTGTGAATTTAATGTGATATTTGAAGTAACAAATTGGAGTACTGCTTCCCTCAAAACAAAATGATATAAATTGACTTATCTACAGACTTTCGTTCGGGAAAAGGATCGAAGATTCAAAAAGCCATTCCCCGAGTTTCGGAATAGATATGTGCAAGTGACAGAAAACTACTCATATCAGTCGTCTCGTTCTTGCCTACCAAGAAACATTGAGTTACTGCTTTCTAAACAAAAAATCCTCACGGGCATCGCGTGCGGATAAACCATTGCACGGTGACCTGATAGGGGACAATTCTTGACAAAATTTCAATTTGGCACAGAGCCCAAGCGGTTGGAACAGTATGCAGGGAAACAATAAGAGTAAAGGATATCGGAAATAACATGTTGAGTATGCCGCTGCTCGCCAGGAGAGAAATCCTCAAGGAATACACTTGATTGTCGTCGGTCGTCACGGTCACCTATTGCACAATGCCATCGATCAGTCCTCCCCCCATACTCTTTTCCGCTCATTCGCAGTAACCACGGCTAGGAGGGAATAGCTTCGTACATAATAACCAAAGTATCTTCGCTGTAGAGCACGGAAGAGCTTCATTCTGTTGCGATGCTATGCACCGTAAACCAAACTGTCATTTTACTCACAAAATCACTCGAGGAACAGATCGCTAGAGCCAAATCTACTCGGAAAGAAGTACCTCTCGGCACAGGTAGTGCCACCGCATGACGTACACCTGGAAGTAACACAAATGGCTATCCAGAATCATCCAGTTAAATCTGAAACCGCACGAAATTCGAAGTAGGGCGTATGCTGATGAATGGTATTGTATCCTAATTGAACATTGATAAATCTTGTCAAGTTAGTCAGTTTAGTTAAAGAAAAACTGTAGCCCCTTTTGACTAGAATTATGGATCTTAGACGGTTTGCCGTCTCCAAAGTAATCTTTATTGCAATGCACACCAAATTGGACTAACTTTCTTTAATGTGATATCAGCAGGCGGGAATACCTATTTGTCGTGGTTTAGTTTAGTGCAACCGACGACTGGAGACAAACAAGAGATGATACGACTGATGCTTGTAAACGGTGCAGCCCGCCCGATTAACCCATTGTATAAGCTCATTCAATTTTTCGTAAACACTACATCTTTGCCTAACTGTCAATCGACCAGACGAGTGGCCAAAAAGATCAAAAAGAGATCGGAGTACGGAAGCGCAAGACTACTGGTTGTCTGAAAAGCCTAGCCAAGTTTCCACAGGCATTGATCGACTGTTATTTTCATATCCGTTATTCTCATGAACCGCAATGGAGGACCCAATTTATAGCCGAAATGTGTCATATATACTGCCATTTCAGAATGTAACACGAAAAAGGCCTAGATAATAGAACGACCCCCTTGCAAATTTTACCTCAAGTTTGGGAGATTCCTACCAGAGGGCAATGATATATATACATATATATATTTCACACTTGTGTGAGGATAGACTGTGTGCCGGGAAAATCATGGTACAATTAGTCATGACTGCTTGAACCCTTACACTCATCNTGGTCAAATCCAAACAGGCACTGAACCCGTAAACGGACTGACGATTGAGCATCACGTGACTCTATTTGTCTATCCATCAGAGACCACGGGGGCATGGTGAACGAGATTGTATCACAAAAACATACGCCTTGAGAACATGTGAGACTCGTAGATTTGATTGGCTCTTAGGCAGACTGATCTGGGCGTTTTATTCGATTCATGATCGGATAGCAGCGGGCTCAGAAACACAGATTAAGATCGATAGACATTTGAGCGACCGGAAATGTAACACAAAGAGCAAATGTACAACACCAAGTAGGCAACAGAACGAGAATAAGTGATCACAGAAGAACATTCATACCGGTGAACAATGAGGACATTAGCGGTGTATTTCGAATCAGAGCGGCGTGCGCGCGTACACACATGCAAGATATTCGAGAATATAGTTGTGCTGACAAAACCATACAACAGAGCCATAAGTCATCCTGAATGATGCATAGCGTTTATCGTACAGGGAGAGAACCTTTTTAAACACGAGAAAATTGCGAGCGACAGACATATGCAGATACAAATATGTGCGTGCGTGAAGCTGCTTTAACTAGTGAGTCTAGGAGAAACAGATAAACAGTCTCAACAGTACAACGCAGATAAAACTATCCTATGTAAAAAAATAATAAGTGAAAAATCTGAAATTTCGAATTTAACGTGGGACAGCGTGCGACAACAGCTGTCGCATGATGCGGATGAGACTTCGGGACAAATCTGATTTTTATCAAAATGAGTAAGTAGCTTTGCAATTTGGATAATTGAAACAAATGTGTGAATCCCAGAGCACTGGATATGTATGTGCACATTTGGAGCTTTTGAAAAGAGGGGAAAGGCGGTGCGGTGCGGGGTAGGGCAGCACAAACACTGAGCATTCATTTACAGCATAACAGAGGCAGACAGAGACAACACCGAGCATTTGAAACGTGGTTTCAAACTGAAATGTAAAACCACCGCCCAATCAGTTAGACTGCTGTGCCGTTCCCATTAAACGGTTTTGGTGGCGGGTAGGGAACAGAACGAGTGGCCAGGGTAATCGGTGCCGCATCTAACTTTGGTAAAAGTTTGTCTTCCATAGGATAAGGGGCACATGGGTTGGGTAGTACTGTCATCACTCCTGGTTTATCGGTTACCACTGACTCCTGCGGTGCGGTGGGTTTGGTATCCAAATTTGCTGCGGGCTGATTCACTTCTTCTTCTTCATTCTTCTTCTTCGTTGGATCTCCGGGTATGGGTAACCCTAGGCGTTTAGCTCGATAACGGGCCCAGATTTGGGCCAACACGTCGGATGTGACCAACTCGCCCGCATTGTAGGAGATCATTTTCAGTAGAAACACACCATCCCGTCGTAGAAACTTTTGAACAAACTCGTGTAACAACCCAGAGTCTCGAGAATCGAAGTGCTCCCGGAGCACGAGGTACCGTGTCACAAAGTCGACCGGACCAGTTCGACTGAGCATGCGCAGCGACCAACGAATCAGACTGAACGCGGTCAGTGAGGCGACGAACAGCACCCACCACCAAAGGAAAATATAGATTTTCTCATTCAACATGTTGACTGGAAGCACACACTGGGCGGTGGCCGTGTTCGTGCTGGTACCCAAATGTTTGACCGGTGCATAGCAGTAGGCAACTCGGGGGAAAATGAGTGTGGCTTCCCAGTCACGTCCGTTCAAAATGTTATGCAACACGGCTACTCCGAAACCGAAATCACCATCCCCGCGTTGAAAACCGAGAAAGTGTTGCATCAGAAATAGTTGACCAATCGCATTCCCCAAATAGAGTAGCTTGAGAAGCAGATAGGCCAGGGAGAGACACGTGCCTCGATGCCTGTCGAACCGATGCAAACAGGTTGCACGCCACAAGCGTGAACACACGGAACCCGCTAGACTCTGGGACCGTTCTCCACCGAAGTGATCACTGTGACCATCGTATAAATTGGTCTCCGGATTCGCATTTCTTTCCATATCGTGGGGTGGTGCTTTGGGGTCACGCAAGGGACGCATTTGAAAGAAACCATTCCCGGTTGGGATTGTCTTTTCATTCAAATGTGAATCGTCCGCTTTGGCATTCGAGTCCTGATTGATCACGTGGTTGTGGGCTAACGCACGATGTTGCTGTTGCTATTTTCACCATTTCAGACAAAACCGGGGGACCAAGAAGATGATGTCGACCGAACGGAAGTTTGCATGCACAAATACATTCATATCAAAACAGGAAAGGGGAAAGGGGAAATGGAGATGCGATGAGCGCGTGCATGCGTGCGTGCGTGCAATGGCATGGATTATATATCGATTGGATGACGAAGCGCACCGACACACATGAAGACACGGCAAACAAGACATGCAGACATTAACACACACACACACACACCACAATGAGTGGCACCAAAGCGATGAATCACAAATAGTTGCGACAGTGCATTTTGTGTAGGCAGATATTACGTTGTACGTCAACAACAACAACAACAACAATTAAAAATTATGACAGAAAGACAAAAAAGGCATGCGAAAGGACTCACAATTCAAGAGGAACTACTAACATGCAGAAAGTGATAAGGATATAGGAATATCCAAGGTTTCGCATGAGGATTCGTTCCCCGGAAGACACGAAATTTAGAACCGAGACTGGGATAAACGAATATGGTTTGTAAACATGTTTGGATGTTCGGTTTTTCACAGGCACCAGGTACTGTTAATGATGTTGGTTGTGGGTTTCATTCCTTGGCAGATCATGAATTCCCCACCAGTGAAATGCATTTAACTGCAATGGAAATCATGGTGATGACTGACAAAGAGCAACGGGACAGCTGTTTCGTCCTGTTTGGGACTCGTCAACAGCACCTGCCTTTGTGTCCCCGTCAGAACTCGAACCGCGAACCATCGGTTTGGGACTTCAAACCCCTGTGCTACACGGTCATCACCTTGGGTGAATGGCTCTATCAATTTAGGCGCTGAATGTTTGGATTAGCTCATTCGGTTTTTCAGGGACACCAGACACTGTTGACGGTCTCGATGGTCAAAACATTTTTCTTTTCTTTTATGAAACTAACGAAGCCAGGTGACCGAATGGGGACGAATGACAAAGGCATCAATGAAAAAAACGAATATTACTATTTCGCCCAGGATTATGCACCACACACACAAACTGACACCCGTTATGTGATCTGTGCTGATGAATAAAAGAGTTTATCACCACGCAAACTCTCACGTCCAAATGAACCAAACGAGCATGAACAGCCCAAAGAGCCAGCAGACTAAAAGTTTCACCACTATACCTTCCAACGTGAGCGCTAGGAAACAATCGGTAGCGAGCGGGAAACGTGCAACATGAAAAAAATTAGCCACTGTCTATTGTGGTTGAGTTCTATATCCCGTACATACATATACATACAAACAAAACAAACAAGTGGAATCCAACATGTACCTGGTGAACGGGTGTGAAACCGGCCGAGGGAATAATGCGGTCGTTTTGAAAAGCGACAACGCTTGCCAATATACGATAGTGTTGGTTAGGTAATAAAATGTGAGTTTGTGTTTGTGCATTTCGATGGAAACAATCCATGAAACGTGATCATCATTCTACTAATACGGACTTTGATTTGAAGTCAAATATCTGATGTAAACTGGTTACGTGGCATCGGTTCGGTCGGTGCCAAAATTCGTGTTTGGCTAGCACAAAACAAAACAAACGCCACTGATCACCTGTTGTGTGCCTGGACCAGGAAAAAAACGTGACAGAACCCGGACTGAGTGTTAAACTGTGGTAAACAATCCCCTAATGACCGTCAAGGGAACCACTACTCATGTGAGTGCTTTACGTGCCACAGGATACATATTAGGCAACAAGGATCACGTGCAAAATACCACGTCTTTTTTATTATTCTAGATTACTACTTGGGAACGAAAAGTCTTTGAAGAACCACCCGCTCTCTACCAGATTTTCTTGTGTAAATTTGGCCGAATCATCTGGACCAATCTGTGTCTTGGAGTGTATCTAAAACGAAGATTAAAACTTGAAAAACGGAACGGAGAGGGGCAGTTTGAGCCTGATGTGTAAAAATGCGCGGCCTATTTGAATAAATACGGGGATAAACTAACTGGACGTTTAACACACGGCAAACGAAAAAAGAACAATGGAATAATCTGTCTATTGGAAAAATGTGAACTGTCTCACAAAGAGCGCTTGTGATTATTTGGGGGCCACGAAATGTGTACTGTGCGATGAAAAATATCTTGCCAAGTTTGAAACAGGACGGTCACGTGGTAGACGCTCTCGTATAACCGAGGAACAACAGATCACACGAAATACGATTGAATCGTCTCAGATGGACACGACAACTAATAGCTTACGATAACCGATCTTTTTAAATTTTGCCTGAACAAACACTGTGACTGGGCGGCACCCCCTGGTGTAGTGCAGCGAACTCACTTGGAACAGCAGTTGCTCCAGTGTTCGGGCCACGTGTTGCACCATTTTGTCTCGTTTCTCATCGGTCTCGTGAACGGCCTGGTTCGCACTGAGGACCAGATGCTGGATATCTGTCCCGGTTCGGTTGTAGCAAATCATTTGCCAAATCAGTCGAGGAATGTAGAACATGATGCACTGCAATCCGAGGACGAACGGGACCCACTGGTAGTATACTATGTGTTGTTGCAGTTGGGTAAAACAAACACACAAAGTAAAGTGACGTGTATCACAGATGACGGAGAAGGCGAAGAAATTTAACGGATAACAAAAACGAGCAGCTAGTTCTTGTTTGTGCATTCGGAGCTTCCAAGTTGAATTTCGAGGGGAAGTCTAACTTTGAACCACTGCTATGGGTCTCTAATAGCAGAATCAACGTACGAGTCAATGCCTGATTTGTTCCCGATAACAAACATTATCTCTTTAGAGGAGTACCAGAGATCCCGGATTTTCGTATAAGGAGAATTGGATACTTCTTCCCTGAAATAATGCGATAGAATCCATCATTTAACAGTTCGTCGGTTGAATGCAAACAGGATAGAGAATCGCATGTTCACAGTCTTCAAAACTGTCAACGCAGTGAGTGTGACCGATGAGTCGTCCCCTAGCGTTTCCGTTTTCTGATTGTAACAGATTTCGCAAGCCTGGGGGGCCGGAGATCGATGCCGGCACACCAATAACTCGGAACCGGATCGTGATTTCTCATCATTCGCTGTCGACCGACGCATGAGGGATATCTTTTCTATGCAGCATTTTCCAAGTGAGTGATAATACTTGCATTCAACATAGCGTGAACTGATTTCGAACGGTTTGGAGTTACTCACCTCGGAAACCTGCGAAGGCATCTCACTTTATCTTTTTAGAAAAGGGCATATATTCTGCTGTATCAAACTTTTGATAGCAAATTTTGGTCCGAATGAGGTAGGCAAAAGTGGAATCCGTAAATAATTAATCTGGTTTACACTCCGAATAATTAAAAAACGAGTGTGAAATAAGCTGTAATAGTTTTGTTCAAGCTTTGAATATTTGTTGGGATGTTCCTTCAGCAGTATGGTCTGGGGTTGCGACTGGTTTGCCTTCCCTTCCATCTCGTACAACGATCCTTAAGGATCAAAGGGCTCGAACTGCCCTTGTTGATTAAGTCCAACTCACTGCCTTTCTGTAGCAGAGGTGTTTTCCAACCAAACTGAGAGGACGAAAAGTCAACACCCTGGACCGGGAGTCATTGAAAGCTCACCTAGGGGAGTTAGTAAAAACCACGATTTCAACCTAATCACGAAGAAGAGTACGAACCACACACATACCTTCCTGATTCTGGCAGTTATCTCCAGTTAAAACTAGCGTCGTGTTGCTTAGGTTAGCTTGGACCCGGTTCAAAAGACGTATGATCCGATTAAATGGACACCGGCTACGAACGAATTACAGTTTTCACACACTACCCACTGCTTCGCGGATCAGGCCGAAGGCTCCAGTTACGAATTCTCAAAGAAAATTCAATCGTTTTGAACTGGCAGTACTCCGTCGACTAGCACAAATTCTTTTCGAGGGGAAGGAAATACATTGTCTGGGAGCACGTTTACTCCTTGCAAACCGAGTGCAACTAACATTTGAGACCATACAATCCCTAAATAGATTTTGTATCAACCAATCGTCAACTAAGCGATCAAACAATGCAAAAACGGTTACGAGTTGAACAAGAAATTACATTTTTAGCACGTTGATTTTGTGTCGGCTGAACTTGAACCGCGACAACGCGATAGTCCGGTGAAGTAAACCCTCGTGCACATTAGCAAAGTTACTTCAAAGCGTTCAAAGAAAACTAATTGACGAATGAAACCACTTTCATAGGGTATCTCATTCTAAATACAATTTTAATGGGCATTGAACCAACAAGTGGTCAGGTCTGCTCTGTGCTTGTGGGAAAAGGGAGGCAAGAAAATAGGCATACGGAAACACACAACGTTGCTCATTTCGTGGCATTTCGGTTAACTGTTTTGACTTTAAACCTCTCGCTGGACAACAATTTTCTTTGTTAATAATCAAAATAGACAACCTTACCCGGCAATGATCGATCGCGGTGAAATCTTATAGATATAATCGAGGGCTTGTTGCATGCTTCGCGTTGGCAAATTATCGGATAACAAAAAGATCAGGAGAATAACCGAGGATTGAGATGTATCAGTGATGGGTGAAATTCACCGGAATCCATTTTCCTGATACACGATGGGTTGTCCTATATCGTATATCAGGAAAATGAAAAACCGTCTGATCAGCTGCCTCAGTGTGACCGAGTGGGTAGCATGCTTGATTTACGCGGGATTTGGATCTCCATTAGGATTTGCCCACTGCACTGGTAAGACCCAATCAGGTCGAGAAAACTGTCCCGTGCTTCCCAGCTTTTCTCGGTTCACGTTTCACTTTCTCCCGTACACATCGAAATTCGCCATATTAACCGGATCCCTTGTGAAACATCGGGATTCGTTGGGAAATTCTTCGAGATGGACCGTATAAAACTGTCGTTTTTAGGTTATGTGGACAGGTATTGATGGATGAACTCTGAGTGATACTAGCCCTAAAGTAGTATGAAAGTAACTAAAAACAACAGGTATGTATCATATGAACAGGTTTATTTTACTGTGGGACATCTTGACCTCATGGACTGGAGAGATTGTGTAAAAGCAATCCAGCGTGCGAGAAAATTAGGAGACATAAGCAACAACTATTAATTACCCGAAACATTAGTGTACAGTGAGAATCATTGAGCTCACGAGTTAAAACCCATCGCGCAACAACTCTCTAGCATGAATTGTTTGCATGATGTTCTTTACTATTCGGGTTCACCCCGCATCTAAACAAGGTTGTTCGGTACCAATCTGCTGCTAATATGAGCTGGCTAGTCAAAAGCAGATGTCGGAGAAGATGAAATTTAGGGAGTCTATTCGGAATTCCGTATAGCTTTCGATCGAGCAAACCGTCGAATAGTAAATAGTGTGCAAGCTGTAAAATTACGATCTCGAGGATTTTGTTCGATAACGTACCATATCAGGACCTACGAGGCCCTGTTGACTCAGTTTGTGGGGTTCCACGGGGATTCGTGATAAGACCCAGTCTGTCTGTCTGTCTCTCTCTCTCTCGCTTGTTTTTACAAACGATGTTTTGAGCTACAAACCTTACCGTTTTCCGACGATGGCAACAGTGACGGATTCAATAGGCTCTTCAACACATTAGGAAATCATTGACACAGCTTGTTGATAATTTTTCAACTGAGACATGGATTTCATCAGTACAATATGTAAAGCTGTATCCCTACATAAGAACGGTTATCAATCACATGAAGCCTCAGAGGCAGGAACTAAAAAGCGGATGCTGATGAAATTTCGCCAAAGGAGAAGCAAAAGAAATACACAATTGGTAATGAATGACTTCACAAAAGAATTAATGACCAGGGAAGCTATGATTTCAAGAAGTTTTTTTCTCGCCAGATATAATTGGATCAAAAATCTATGATGTGTTTAAGTCAGGACACAAAATGCACTTTACGCAACTGAAAAAATGCAATGGACGAATGGCTAAGTTTGACTGAAAGTAAAAATTGATGAAAGTTTTTGTTCCACCAAATGAGCTCGTGAAGGATTAAAGGTAGTTACAATCTAACCGCTGATCTAATGAAGTGGACAAGTTTCAAACGACCGAGAAACCGAAGATTAGGACATGAGCAGAATCGTATGCTAACAAGCGTCGCCGTAAACTGCACCTGCTGATATTGTAAACTTGTTGACGACTACCAAAGACAGACGGGTTTCGACTCTGGATGTCGCAATGCTCGTTGCGGATCCATAGCAAGGCTTGGCGTGACTGATTTAGTACATCTAAACTCACTGACACCGGAGTTAAATAACCAGAGTAAACTCATATGTACTGTTTTTGTATCCAGGCTGTCTGTTGCATTGTTAACACTCCTCTTTGATTCGGGATTGCGCTCTTCAAATCAGCGACTCATTCAGGAGTAAAAAAAGACCATTAAATCGGATGGATTTCAACAACAAACTACGAAACACTTTTTGTGCCTCAACTGTTCAGGTGTCGTCTTCAGTGTACGAACATGAACTGGCAATTCGATTCAGCCCTGGAATGAGCTGATTGGTATAGTGGTAACATGTACGCCTTCTATGCCCTGTAGGTCTGGAATTCAAAGCCCGGAAGGGACGTTGGATATGCACTACTGACGATGAGCTCTAATAAGAGCGAAACTCCAGTCTGGTTCTTCCATGAATGTATGTTTGAGTGGAAGAACTGAAGATTATGTGCAGGTGAAGTCAGAAGGATGATCAGTTCAAATCAAAAGTACAAGAAACAAGAATTTTGTGGCTTGTGTTCATGACAGAATCTTCTAGGACTCAGAATAAATTTCAAACCTTTCTACACTCATCCAATAGATACGGGTGCTTTTTCCAGACAATCCTTTCGATGTGATGTTGTGGCGGTTTGAGGGAAATGGAAAGATACTTTGTACCGGGTAAGCGTATCGAATACGACAACAGGGTTGCGTACACATACAAATACAAAATGAGCACTGTCTTAATCAAGTAGACCACCATCACAATGCTTACGTGGTGTTGCCTTGTCCGCCTAGTGCTGCGGTAGCTTATGTGTCTGGAAGAGGAAGCGATGACGTAGAACACATGAATGACTGAACAAAGCATCTCCATCAAGCATTTGCAGCCTCCGAAAGCCGCAATATGGTTGCGAAGGTGGTCTTGGATTGTGTGGCTGTCACCCTTCCCTATGAGGGACGAGTGCCGAATCCTGCCACTGTTGTTTTGGTGACTAGTGGATCAACACCATATCTATCACATCTTGACCTTCGCAATTCAGACAGCGCCGCGAAATCTCAGGGATTATGTTCTCACTTATGCTCAGTGAATCACCGATCTTTGTGGCTAGGGATGTGTATCCCTGGGCTATTCATTACACAACACAACAGAACAGAAAAGAATAATCATAACACGCCAGTTTGGTACGGGCGCTGAACTGTAATATTATAAATTCACAGTGCCAATTCAAATGGAAAAAAATAACAATTCCAAACAAAAGGGAATGAACCTATTTCAGCAATGAATTTTGACAGGTCAGATGGAATGGCTGAGAGACACCACTGGTAGTTCACCACAATCAATAAATGATAACTATATTCGATGAACTATTGGGCGGTTTAGTTTGAAATATATAGGACATATAGAATATTTTCGAAGTCGTGTTATGCGAAAGTGGCTAATTTGATTTTATTGAACTTCATAGAAAATAGATTGTGTTGCATTGAGTAAAGAAAAAGTAGGATTTCTTTCTGTTGTGTGGTGGTCGCGAGGTATACTTGCGATCTATCTGATCCCCAGTTAGATCAATGGACGGTACCGCTGTTGAGACCAAAAAGAACTTCCTGTTCGTTCGAGATATAAAATTCACCTGAAAGTTCGATCAACAAACAATATACTAAATCTCAGTTGGTGATGGTGGTGGTTTAGTCGCTGTCACCGGCATGCTTTGGATCCTATAGTCCGGGGTTCGAGCCCCGCCACCACCACCCAAATTTGGTGGTAGACAGCTTTGACGTCGCCCGGTTCAATACCACACCTGACCTGGCGGGGCTTTATGTGGTTCGCCCATCCAAGTTCCGGGGCTTAAGATGCCGGTTACCATCAGTAACAGCAGGTCTTCGTGACCATGGGGTTTAACCCTGTCCGTTGTCCATCACACACCGAAGTAGTAAAAAATTTTTAAAAAGTTTCAAATACAGCATTGCTCTGGTAGTTCAAGCTGATCATTTATCAAAATTATCCACAGCGAGTGTAGCTGGGTTCACTCAGTCCAGGGGCTTAGGATGCCGGTTTCCATGAATGAACAGCAGATCATCGTGATTATGGCATTTACCTCGTCTGCTGTTCACCGGGTGACAGTTCGGAATATACAACACCGACGAATAAAACATAAGTACGATTAAAACACGATACCAAGACTTTCAGAATCAAAATCGTAACCAATACGGTTAGTGATGTCATGGTGACCTACAAAGTGCATTAAAGGCTATCGGCTCACGCAATTCAGATGACAACAGGAAGAAGAGAGAATAAAAATGGTGTTCCTGCGAGGGTAAGGAGTAAATTAGTGACTTTCCGCTAAGGTCCGCAAACTGAATGAGAAAATGAGAAAAAAGCTGCATTGAACCGGACTGAACTAAAGTTCTAAAGCTAAAAAACTGAGATTGAATATCGATAGAAATGCACTGAAGATAATAAAACCACTCGATATAAATTAAAGGAAGTTGGTCAGTGCTTACAAAGCTTTTGATCTTCTAGTGTACTCCATCCTTCGTCAGTTTCTGGAATGTGTCCGGCAAACGAGATTGGCACAGTTCCTTGAACCCAACAATAATTTTCCACATAATCCAAGAGATTTTTGCCGCCCAAATCCGTAGCCATGTAGCATGAAATGGGCTTCATCATATACTGTTTTACGGTGACTATAGTCGCACACAAGGATAATACCATAACGGTAACTAAGAAATTAAATTTATCGGAAAAATCCTCAACGCCAACATAGGTTGCGACTTGGAACTTTGAAACATAATCCAAAAATTGTGCAGCAACCATTGTCTGCGGCGCTGAGACGGAAACCGCTCACGCGACAACCACGTTAATTTTCCCTATGGATATTAGCGTTGGCGAGGTTGGTGGCAATCGGTTTGGTCAAGGTCGATCCACCCACATCTCATTGGCCACATGGAAGCGATTGTACGAAGCCGATTGGCTAGTGGGTGTGTATCATGGTCCAGCAGTAACAGGCCTATTGGCTACACGGTCCGACGCAGGTGACCTCGAACATTTCGGGTAAAACGAGGATACGCGTGCGAAGTTTGTTTACTATAATCAGGACGACAATCGAACTGTGCCAGTGTTCGATAACCATTAGGTGTCTGGGGCCGATGATCACAATGTTGATGCTACAACTGATCCTCTGGTGTGTGTGCTGGGCTCAGCAAATTTACAGGTATACCCTTTCCGATCTATTTTCAACGAATCGGTCAAATTTTATTGTTTTTTTTTAATTATCCCGGTAATAATCAAGCAGAAGCATCGGCAACTCCCACTCACAGATTTCTTGGCTTACCGAATTGTTCTCATTCTTTAGTAACTCCCCGAACTTTCAACCCACTTCTCAAGGTTATCCATGATCGAAAACAAGCCGAGGAATTGATTTTACAAATATGCATACAGTTTACGTACATACTGGTACACGTCTTCATTTTTTCCTATTTAAATTCGGCGCGTATTAGGATCTTTTTTCTGTCACGTGATGAACGCAAATTACGTTGGACGGGATAAATCTCTACATTTAAAGAACTATCGTACATAAAGTGAGGGAGATGGGGAGTAATCATGTAAAAAGTAAGCTGTTGATTCTGCGGTTGAAAAATCAAAGTTTGCAAGAAAGGAGAAATGTAACGCGGGCGAAGGCGTTCCCCATATCAGGTTGGTTCTCAGAAAAAAAGAATGAACTAAAGCACAGAAAAGTGCGGACAGACATTTGAATTTTGTGGACTGCCGCATGTGTTAGGGGAGGATGGGTGAACAGAGGGGGAATCGGAACTGCAGAAAGGAGGTGTTCTGCGAACAGAGACCGTGATATTGATGATGAGCAGGGAACATAAAGCAACAGCCCAGCGGTAGGTCAGGGACTGTTTAGAGGAATTCAGCGTCGAACTGTCGGTGAGACTTAGCGGCATTTGGGACCATGGGCGCGGTACACATAGCCGACCTCCATCATTTTATCACTAATAATAGATTCGAACAACCATCACATTCAACCCGGTTGAAGAGATTTTATCTGAGCAACCCTAGTGCGGATTTTAATGACAAAAGAATAGTTCATGCAAAATGATAGCAGTGTGGTTTATTAAAAGTAGCTGGAACGAATGATGCATAACCGTCGGACTATATCAAATAACTTTGCGCTGTGGAGGGGGAATTCGATCCCACGGGCGGTATTTTAAGGGATGTGTGGAATGAGCGATGTCATCAATGGCACTTGAATGGGTGGTTTTTGAGTTATTCAACGACAAACTGTTACATATCAC